GCGATGAACTTACCAACTACAATTTCATTGTCTTCGTTCTTCGTTCTCCTCTGGCTCTGGGTCAGACTCTGGCTTTAACACGTAAGGCTGGATGGACACGTCTTCCCTTGTTGACATTTTTTTAAAGTAATTTGTAAATAAACTGTTTATGTGCAGCTAAACAATCATAAACCCATCTATCAAATGGGAATAGACCTCTCTGGAAGCTGGCGGGTGTGAGGTGCCTTTGGATTTAAAGAGACAGCCTAAAAACGAGTTGATCTGAGAAACACTTCAGAAAAGGGTGAAAAAGGGGTTTGTGAAATTACAATGAGAAATTCAGACCAAATCATTACAGTTCCACTTTATATAAACCCCAACTGAATAATTTAAATGTGACAAAGAAGGATTTCAAAGCAAGTGTCTCCCTTAAAGGGGCACTCGTTAAGATCTGTTCACTGTTACATAATTTCCTTACATTGCTTTTTTTTCCCCTTACGTTGATAATACAGCAAATAAACACCCACAGGCGAAAACATATCCCCTGCCTTTTTGGCTGCAAGTAGTCCAGTCAAGCTAAAAATGATCCRATTGCACTAATCTGCCAAGCAATTGGTGCATCTTTACTTAAAGATATTTACAAAATATGGATTTTTTTTTTACTTTTATTTATTTTTTGTCGACTATTATTTGACGAGTTTAATCCAAAGTGTCTAAATCTTCTCTTTGAGCCAAATCAAAATATCTTTTAAACACAGCTTAGTGTAATCGCCTCATCACAAAATTCCCTCATAGATCTGTTAAATATTCATGTATGTYCAAAACACACGTAGCACTGAGAGCTTGTTCACTAAAATGGTGTATTTTATTGCCAAACCCTTCTTATCTGGCAACAGAGAAGCAAAAAMGTTAAARGTAATAAAGTGTTGGTAACATGTTAGACATTACACAGGGCTTAAATCCTGTCTTGCGCACACATACACTTTCTGAAAGCTTGATTTAAACACAATCTCAAAAGCTGACAGTCATTTGTGCTCAGTGGGCTTTTCCTGCTGGTATCCGTCCTGCCTGTCGGTGTTTACCCAAAGCCCAGTGTAAATGCCAGCGGAATATTGTGATTCGCGGGGYTCTGCTGATCACACACTGAATTTCCATGCATTATTTACATCGAGCTTAGCCTTCCTCTAAGCATTTGTGAGCGCGGGTCACAAACAAGCAGGGATCAATGAATGACAGGAATCAAATATTTATGCCAAAGCCAGAGTACCTAAGGCGGGGGTCACATGACCGCCGGGGATCCGCGGAGACGACTTCCTGCCACACGAACGCCGTTGAAACCAGTGGCGTCAGGAAGGGAAATCCAGGAGGGAGGACGCGGTTTGTTGTAGCAATTTACAGAGGCAAGAAGAGAGGCTGCGAGACTTGACAGTGTTTACTTCTGCGTTGATTTACTGCCTGCTCTGTTTGCGCGCGCAACGTATCGGTTTGTGATTCCGTAAAGCGCTAAACTCGTCACGCACGAGCTGTAARTTGTTGCTTCAAATTATTTGCCACAAATAGATATTTGCTGGGGTTGTAACGAGACATGTATTTGCACTGAGCCGTCGCAGTTTCAGACGTCCGCTGTGTGCAACTGGAGGAAGAAACACCAGTCACAGGCCGTCGCTACGTTTATGGTTTTTGTTTTACTAAAAGCCACAACAAGAAAATAAGGAGCAGAGGAGGAGAGTGGAAGATCTACTTGTTTGTTTCAAATCAGCAATATGAAAAGTGAGCCGTAGACCCTGTGGAACACCCATCCATCCATCCATCCATTATCTACCCGTTTATTCCTCTTCTAGGGTCACGGGGATCACTGGTGCCCATGTCCAGCAGTCACAGTGCGAGGGGCGGGGTACACCCTGGACAGGTCRCAAGTCCATCACAGTCACAGTCCTGTGGAAAACCATGATTTGTAAACTTTAAAGTAACTTTTCTCATCTAATAAACTCTGTTTAATCACCACCTGTGATTAAGCTCCCTTCAAACAGCATCACAAATTATTATCAGCTACACAACCAATTAAAACATGGCTGGATTGTGTTGAATTAAAAAAAAAACACTTGTAGGTAGTCATGATGCTTCTAAACTCTTAGTGCTTACCAAAACATTTTTTTCTGCTATTTATTTGCGTTCTCACTTGTGACCTCATCACACTCTATACACCCACCCTTGTACGTAATAGATCAGTGGTTCCCAACCTTGGGGTCGGGACCCAAAGTGGGGTCCTGAAACATCAAGGTGGGGTCCTGGGAATATTTTCTGAATTAATTATCCTAAAAATGACAACCATCATTTCTTTTGCGTTTGTTGTTACAAAATAAAAAGATTAGTGTACTTAGAATGGACAAAAATAATGTCATAAATAATGTTATATGCTCGTTCATTTATTTG